GCACGAACAATGAATCATGGAACACTTCATCTAGAACTAATGATGTAATGTATGGGGATTAACATAAGAATAAAAAAAAATTAAAAAAAAAATGTACCTGTCTCAGAAAATGATCACAGTAGAACAGTAAGTGGAAATAAATAGAGTTGAAATATTGTGTGAATAGTTGTTATGGGTTGAGCTGTGTTCAACCCACCTCAACTGATATGTTGGAGTCCTAACCCCCAGACCCCAGAATGCAACCTTATTTAGAAATCGGGTCACTGTAAATGTAATTATTCAAGTGAAGATGAGGTCATGGTGGAGTTGGGTGGGTCCCTAATCCAATGCAACTGTTATCCTTATAGAAATACTGTCATGTGGAGAGCCAGGCATGCGTGCAGACAGAAGAGCAGGTGGAGGTGAAGGCAGAGATGGCCCCGATGCCGCAGAAGCCAAGGAATAGCAACGATGGCCAGAAAAACCACCCGAAGCTAGGACAGGGGCCTGGAACACATTCTCCCTCACAGCCCTCGGGAGAACCAATCCAGCAGACACCTTGATCTCAGACTTCGAGCCGCCAGAGCTGGAGAGAATCGATTTCTGTTGTTTAAGCCCTCAGTTTGTGGTACATTATTGTGTTGTGGCAGCCCTAGCAAACTAATAAAAGTAGTTTCATCCCAATTTTGTAAAACAAAACAAACCCCATATATGTCATGGATTATTCTCTCTCTCTCTCACGTGCGTGCACACACACACAGTGAAAGGAAGTATATAAAGAAGTGAACAGTGGCTCTATGGGAAGGGAGGGTGATGGGTAATTTTGCTTTGTGCCTTTCTCTGCACCTTTGGGTTTTTCCTCAGTTCCCTTACATCCCTACAATATTATATATTATTACATAGACGCATCTTTGGGCTTGTTTCCTTATCTGTAGTTTGAGAATAGCCATACCAGGGGCGCCTGGGTGGCTCAGTCGTTAAGCGTCTGCCTTCGGCTTGGGTCGTGATCCTGGGATCCTGGGATCGAGCCCCACGTCGGGCTCCCTGCTCAGCGGGAAGCCTGCTTCTCCCTCTCCCGCTCCCCCTGCTTGTGTTCCTGCTCTCGCTCTCTCTCTCTCTGTCAAATAAAT